CCCCCCCCCCCCACCCCGAAGACTTCAAGTGTCACGTGGCATGCAAACATGGATTGGGACGACGAATTCCAGGTTATTCATGAATTTTCTGTTGTTAAATGTTGCTTTTGTTATTTAAATATTTTTGAATTCAAATATATGAAATGACTCATCTTTTTTATGGTGACATGTCACAGGAAGTTTCAAGTCTTTCATAAAAGCGATTCTCGTTGGTCACGTGATTAATTAAGGCAGAAAGATTTATGTCGGAAGACATGCATGTTTGACCAAAGAAAATAATTTAAGTTTATTACAAAGTGCGATGGAATTATTACAAATTGCGACAGCTTAGTTTTTTACAAAGTGCGATGGACAGTTATTACAAATTGCGACAGCTTTTTTATTACAAAGTGCGACACGGTTTATTACAAGTTGCGACAGGTATTTCAAAGTGCGATGGATTTATTACAAATTGCGACAGGTATTACAAAGTGCGATGATTATTACAAATTGCGACAGTACACACGTGAACGCCAGTAAACGTTTTTTTTCAGTCCCTGTTTTTGTTTTTCAGAAGCCTACTCAAATTTGTTTAAGCTAAAATATTCTTTAATTCCGGAGTGAACTGTGGTCAAGTGTAACTGTAACACGAACTTCAATTTCACTGTTTTATTATTAAGCCTGCACATTAAAGAGTATTGTGGCACTTTCTGGGAAAAACTATTATTTTCTCTCTGAAAGCTCCTAGCTCTTGCTGAGATCTATTTTTTTGCTGTAAACATTAACAACACTCAAAAAGCTGATATTTATAGGGGGAGCCAGCCGTCCTTAAGTTAAAACGCATCGTCTAAAGTAAGTCAAATGAACGTTAGCATGTGAACGAAATCTGAAAAGCAATATGCTTGAGTGTTTGCGTAGATTTTTATAACACAAGTGTTCATTACGAAACAATCTTGCACAAATACGTTAACTGGAGGAAAGCAACAAAGAATTAATGGAAAAGTGCCATTTATTTATAAATAGTACAGAAGACAAAATATAAATACGCTAAAATTCACATCTCTTAGAATTTGAACATTTGTATCCTATAAATTGTCCTGCAATGATAGAAACTCGTTGGAATAAAAACTAAGGTTTGTATCGCAGGGATTAACGCATAAATCATGCATGGAAGGAGCACAAGATACAAGAAGTGAAAGTCCAAAGTGAAAGTTCAACGTACTGCGAAACTTATCAGTAGCCTGGGCGCTAGGATTTTGACAGCTCCTTTTTATCGGCAACTCCGTTTGTTTACGTTTGTTTACTGTGCATAACCGTTTGGGTAGCCTGGGTAGCAAGCGTTTCCGTTTGGTTTCGGAGCAAAGAAAAACCGAGGAAGGGAACTTTCGGTTTTGACCAAGCGAGAAATGAAACGACAGCCCTCCCCGCTCTTTCACTTGCGCCATTTTTCGCGCGGTCTGTGACTCTCGTTCCTCGTTCTTTTCTCCTAAACCGCACAGAAACACTTGCTACGCAGGCTACCGTTTGGGCGGCCTCGGATTTTAACGCGCATTTACCATTCACTCGATTAATAGCGTTGCATAGTTTCTTCTACTTTATGGAACTCTTAAGCAACCACTCTGCATCTAGGAGTAGCCTGCGTAGCATGGCGGTTTTGTCGAGCCGGGCGCAGGAGCGGCGTAGCCGCGAAATTCGCGCGCGAAGCGCGCGAGAACGAGCGGCGAAGCCGCAAGAAAAATAAAAACCGCCTGCCCGGATTCGTGACCTTTTCAACTGCCGCCCCCTTCAACTCATTTTGACATCCTGTTGACAACTTGTTTGGTTTCAGTTTTCCCAGCCAATCAGAAATAAAGTGTTGACAGCCTAAACACGACACAAA